CTCCTCCCACTACTACCACCGCCACAACCACTACACCTACTGACCCAGCTGCTGAGTAGACCAATGAAGTCACTGATTATCAAAACGCGCGATATATTGGATCCTGTGAGGCAGTATGGCGAGCTTTAGAGTTTCGTGTACACATGCATGATCCCATGGTTGTACATCTCGACATCCACCTGCCAGAACAGCAGTTGGTGCGTTTCCGCGACACTATGACACCAGAGCAATTGGCAGCTGCTCGCGAGGCTACAAGGGAGGGCACCAGGCTTTTGGGCTTTTTTGCTCTTTGTCGTCAGGACGAATCTGCCCAGCAATACAAGTATCCGCAGATTCCCTGTCATTACACTTGGAATGCTCGAGAGCGTCGATGGGACCGCCGCTCCAATCCCCCTTTTAAGAATGTGGTGACGCGCATCTACTCTGCCTCTCTGTCCGATATGGAGTTGTACTGTCTTCACCTTATTTTGCTTTCTGTGGCTGGACCAAGAAGCTTTGACGATCTCAAACGAGACAGCGACGGCGTGAACCATCCAACATTCCAGCAAGCAGCGTTAGCACGTGGTCTTCTAGAGTCAGATGATATATGGAATCGTTGCTTAGAAGAAGCATCAGCAGTAGCACCATCTGCATCCGCAATCCGCGCACTTTTTGTGTGCATACTTACCAGTTGCTCGCCTGCTGATCCACTGTCCTTATGGAACACCTATCGCGATCGAATGGCCGACGACTACTTTTTCGAGATGTGTAGGTCGCTCTCTATGCCAAATGAGGCCGAAGTGACACCTGATCAACTAGACCAGGTTTACCAAAGAGCACTTGTTGACATCGAGTCACATTTACAAGCAACTGGTCATCATCTGTCAGAATTCCCCTCTCTCCCTCAAGAGTTTATCACCGAACTTGATCTGTTGCCTCCTTTGGAAGCACTCGAGATTGTCGAACGGCGCGAGTACGATCAGGAAGAGCAGCGTCATCTTCTTCAGACGCTGTTGTCAATATTAAACGACGATCAACGACACGCCTTTGACACCATCTCCACTGCCATCAGCCGACCTGACAACGACAACCAACCACGTGTTTTTTTCGTGAATGGACCTGGAGGAACTGGCAAGTCTCAGCTGTTCAAGACTCTTTTGAGCCATACGCGCTCCCGCGACATGATTGCACTGCCTGTCGCTTCTTCCGGTATTGCTGCAATCCTGCTCCCTGGCGGGCGCACTGTACATAGCCGCTTCAAGATTCTGTTGAATGCAGACGCGTCCACTTCCTGCAATATTCGACTCGGTGGTCCTCATGCACACTTGATACAGAGTACCTCTCTTATCATTTGGGATGAAGCTGTTATGTGCAGCAAATGGAATTTCGAAGCTGTTGACAGGTCACTTCGTGATGTCATGGGTGCTGTTGACCCTTGCCTGAGCAATGTTGCTTTTGGTAGAAAAGTTGTCGTTTTTAGTGGTGATTTTTGTCAGTTGCTGCCCGTCGTCAAGAAAGGGACTCGGTCCGAAATTGTTGGTGATTGCATCTGTTCTGCTTCTTTTTGGAGTGATGTTCAAGTATTGCATTTGACCATCAACATGTGTGTACGTCACGCTGGTCCTGCTGCTCCTGCATTTGCTGAGACACTTCTTGCCATTGGCGATGGACGTGCTCCATATACAGAAAGCGTAGAAATCTCTCAGGAATGGTGTATGGATGTAGCAGACACCATGGGTCTTATAGACGCCATATATCCCAACATACGCAATCCACAGCCGCAACCTAAAGATTTCAACGCTCGCGCCATATTGGCAGCAAAAAACGTCGACGTCGATGCAATTAACGAGGCAGCCTACGGTATTTTTCCAGGTGAAGGGCGCGATTATGCTGCCAATGACCGTATCATAGACGTTGATGACCCAGAAGCAGCAGTGGTCAACTATCCCGTCGAGTTTTTAAACAGTCTCGGCACTAATGGCATACCTAGCCATACATTACAGCTCAAGCCTGGCATGCCTGTAGTGCTCATGCGCAACTTGGATCCCGACGCCGGCCTGTGCAATGGCACAAAATATTTGTGACAAGGCTTCTTGATCGGTGTATTGCCGTGAAAAGAATTGACTAAGGGCATCGTGGCCTGGAATTTTTCCTTCCACGTATCAATATGTGTACAATGGAAGGAGATTATCCCTTCATCCTCTGCCGCCGCCAATTCCCTGTCCGCCCTGCCTTTGCTATGACCATCCACAAAGCGCAAGGGCAAACCCTGCAATATGTCGGTGTCCACCTTGCAGAAGATGTCTTTGCTCATGGCCAACTATATGTTGCGCTATCTTAGGCAACTGACCCTAACAATCTTCGCGTTGCCATCGATCTCTCAGGGTCTGGACCACCACAAACCACCAACATCGTCTACCAAGAAGTTCTCTTGCATCCGCCGGCCTCTGTTCCTGAACAAGCCGAAAATTCACCACCAACCTCTCCCACAACAACAATCACCGCATTTCCACCTCCATCACCTTAAGCCCTTTTCTGCTCTTTTTCTTTTTGCTTCTAAACTCTTATTTTCACTTATTATCATTTAACGTACAATAGAATATTCTTACCTCTTCACGGTATCTTTCGTAAGTAGATCTGACGCGAAACAATAAGATATAGAACTACGCGAAGTTGCCGTCACCTTTCAGCTAATTACGACAAGCAGCAATAATCTGCCACGATGTTCAAATGAAAGCGGACACATTGATGAACTTTCAAAAATATGTAAGAGCTGTCGATAGCAACAAATAAGTTATCCTCGCATTAATAGTGAAATACCAGTCAAAAGTTCCTCTGTCGTCCCTTTTAATTTGACAAACCAACGTGTAGTAGGGTTTCGTGTCATAGTGATAATGATAACGTTTAGGGTTATATGTAGTCATAGCAATAAATAAGCTCGCGAAGCGAGCTTTGGTTAGGGTTTAGAAGGGGGTGTGGGGGGAACCCCCCACCTTGGGGGTCTGGGGGGAACCCCCAGGAAACATCCAATCCGTTGAATGACCTGGAGTGCAGCGAAGGGGCTCATTCAGCCGAGCGAAGCGAGGCAGGTGGATGTTGATAAAGAAGAATAAGAGATGACTTGAAAGATGATCTTTATTATTTGATGATGGAGGGGATATTTATATGTTTCCTAAGACTATTGTGTGATGATAACTCTAATGAGATGACTACATGTTGTGTTGATGAATGGATACGTGTTCAAAGGATGAAGAACTACGTGTTTTGCCAAACGTGCATTAACGACAATGGACTACGTGTTCGAATGATGGTAAGGTGGGACAAAAAGGGAAAAGGTAAGACCGATAAATTCTGGCTACGACATCATAGCAAGTTTTGACGGTGACACACCGTTTCCTTTTTGGATTTTTCCCACTCCCTTTTTGACATATTTTATAGCCATTTCTTCTACCTGTTTCTGTTCCTTCATATTGTAACTCAATCATCCCTTCGCCGTTATTCTATAGCTACTTCTTTCTAATTCTTCCATTCACTCACTAGAGCTCAATCTACTATCCAACATTAGCTACAGCTATTCTTTCTATCTTCTTCTGTCGCGCAGCCAACCTTATATACATTATCCACTATATCTTGCATTCATCGTAGTATTCATCATTTTCATATTACCTTGGACAAAACATATAAATAACCTTCCTTAGTATATACAATAAAGGAGCATCTTCTAAGTCATCTTTTACACTCTCTTTATTCTTGACACCTCTCTTTCTATTGGCTACGGAACTGACCCACCAAAAGGATTCGACAAGTGCTTCTGTTTTTGCTGTAGTATAATACCTAGTTATCTTGTTGTGTCACTTTTTGGCGAGTCAGTCTGTAGCCAATGAGAAGAGAGAGGAACAAAAGGGAAACAAAAGAATAAAGAGAAGATGATTAATACTGTTTATTGTTTGTGATGAGGAGGAATATTTATATATTTTGTCTAAGCTACTGCAGTAAGAGCATCCCCAGTAGTTGTGCCAAATCTTAAATTTAGAATAGAATTTTTTTATTCCCAGCAGTCATTCTATTTCCAAATGCCAATTCCAAATTTGCTATTTTTCCAATACTGATCCCTAAATTTGAAACGTGCGTTTCAAAATTGAAATCAGGGCGTGCATCTTATTAAAGTCTTCTTCAAACAAAATCTTGAACAAGATGTCTGACATTAACACCACCAACTCCACTCGAGGCTTTAGTTGGACTGTTGAAGAGGATACGTTGCTGTGCAAGGCTTGGGTTGATAAGACTGTGAACAGTGCACAAGGCATGGATCAGTGTAGGAGGTTAACCACTAGCAGCAGTTTTCATTGAAAACTATTAGTTAAGAATTATTTAGGGGTTGAGAATTTTCAAAATTGAATTTTATAATAATAATAAAAATAGTAATAAAATATGGAGCCTGAATTTAATATTGAAGAAGAGACATAGTCGAGCATCGCGCGCGGCAAACCACACTTCTTTCTATACATTTTTTTACCTTCTACACTTGTCAATCTCGCGCATTGTCACACCAAATGAAAACAGAGGCCAACAACGTGCATCCACAAGGAGAATCACACAACACAGTCATCGTCTGTACCACAGCTCCATCGAACAAACGACGTTCCAGTGACTCATCCCTGCGTACCCACGTGTCAAGAATTCCCGCAATCAAGCGACCTAACACACGTACAGCAACACCACCAATGAGCAACATCCGCTCAGTGCAAGCCAGCGGTCGAAAAGGACGATCACGCTCGCGTTCACCAACAAAAGTAGCAAACCAACAACGTATCCATCGTGAGAACTCACCAGTCGACGACACTGTATCCGTTCCTCATAACGATGACACGCCGACGGCTGATAGCAACCAAGGATTCATCTCGTTCACATCGATCCCATCACTGTCGCCACCAGCAAATGCACTAGCCGAAGTTCTCAGTTGTGTATCTGAACTCGAGAAACGAGCAACGGGTCATGAACAAGAGTTATTTCAAGCAAAAGAAGAACTACAACACATGCGTGACCTCATCAACGAGAACCAACAACTGCGCTCTGACCTCGCGGTTGCACAAGCTCGTATAATTGAGCTTGAAAATAGCCAAGCCGGTGTACCACCCACGGATCGACCAACGAACCCAATGGATATGGACGGCATTGCCCGACATGAAGAGATCCTCACGACCACCAGCGAGTCAGTACATGCTATACCCACGGACGAATGGGAAAAAGGCCGAGCTGCACGAGAGGCAACGAAGGCATGGCAGCAACACCATTGTGAGGAACGTTTACAACGACAACTAGCTGCTCTCGACAAACAGCAGCAACGAGAGCATAAGCTAACTCGACAGCAATCATCAGCACAACAGTAGACAACACCGATCTCATATGCAGCAATCGCACATAGAAACGCTGCCACGAAGAAGAATGCAGTTATGGGGCCACCAACAGAGACGCAGAAGAAGTGAGCTCATCGTACCTTTGAAGAGGCATCTGACAACACGGCATACACGGTTATTTACATGCCCTCACCACGCCGTACTCTCCATAGCGAAATCCGTCGCGCTTTGCGCCTACTTAGAGCTGCACAAGAGAGAGTTATAGATATTCACTTCCCTGCCCACAGCGTCGTGGGCCTGCTGATTCACTCCTCGTATGAGCGAGAGTTGCGCGAGCTACTCACACAGGCGAAACTTACACCAAAGGACAATTTCAATCCAATCGCGGCATCGACGATCGGTGATCCAACATTACTCCGTGATATGACCGAAACGGAACATGAAAAAGAAGCCAAAACACTGTATCAAGAACGGATGCTTACCATGTGCATATGGATGCCGAAGAAACATCTGGCCGACGCAATCATGCGGCATTTCACATCACTACCAGAAGATCATGATCACCGTATAGGATTGGAATATTTGGCAAAATTCCAAGAAACACACCCTAAGCCTACCCGCCAACGTCGCCAGCCCCTAGTGACAGAGGCTGAAGCCCGCCATCTGCTAGGTGGTAGCGACAACAATGACGAAGAGCTGGAACTCATGCAAGAATAATGATCAACTGCATCAAAATTGGCCATTTTAACGCCACTGGTGTCAACCATCGGGCACCAGATGATTTGTAATCAAGAAAACATAGACATAATTCTTCTCACTAAAACATATCTTACCTACAGGCGGCTCCTTACTGACTGGCATCAGTACCACACCTACGCCACCCCGAACGAAACAACTAATAGAGGATGAGCCCTGGGTGGTATTTCATTGCTTGTACGACCAGATATCAACGTCTATAATCACCACTACCCTATGAATAATCTGCACATTTTATTATTCCAGGTTGGTACATACTCCTTCTACGGCCTATATCTACCACCTTCTCTCAATATCGACACCTGTGCACAGCTGCTGGATCAGCTAAACATCGCCGATCATACCGTCATTATCGGTGACCTCAACGCACGTTCACCAACGATAACCGGCGACCATTCGGACAACAAAAGAGGACGAGACATACTAGAGCCCTGGCTATTTGCAAACGGGATACACATATAGAACGGATCACTCGCAAGAGGGCAGCCTACATATCGCGTCGCCAATGGCAGTAGTATCATTGATATATTTATATCACGCGTTGGGGCCCTAGAAGAACCAGAAATTCAGATATTTGACAGCATCGCAATCAACAACTCTAAGCACCATGTATGCATGCTGTCCTTTACACCGACTACACCCTGGCTTCCACTACCAGCTCCGAACTCTCCACGCTACCATTGGAAACTGCAACGCCTCATGGATCCAGATGTTCGTAAACTCTACGTTAATCAGTTCAATTGCAACATTGCCAGTACAGTGAAGTCTCTCAACCACATAGTCGTCAACAGCGCCAAAGCCATACCAGACAAACCAACAGTCGAACAGCTAGGGAAAGATGTAGTTGCAGCAATCCACGACGCATTGGACACGAGCGTTACTCGCAGCAAACCGCGATCAACACAACGGAAATGGTTTTGGAACAGCGAGCTACAAGATAAAGCCGATTATCGAGATATAGCGTATAAGCAATGGCGACGAGCCCCCAACAAAATTGTAATACGAGCTCGGCTCTGGTGTAAATATATATCCTGTTGTGAAGTTTTTACTCGCAAAGTACACCTAGCAAAAAGACGAAGCTGGAACCAGTTCTGCATCGAATTGGCTACTGCACCGGTAAACGAGGCTAATACCATGATTAAACGGATCATCTGGCAACCGAGTCATACCTTCTCTCATCCAGAAGGCCCTCAATAAGCGGTAGAAATCATGGTAACTCATCTGAGCAAAACGTTTGGTGGTGAACAGGCCCAAGGATGCGGTAATACATACTTTAGCATAAAAAACTATGTCGTTGATGAAGACCCGTTCCCAGCACCAGCAATCGAAACCGTTTTACGCAAACTGGCACCGCGCAAGGCACCTGGAGACGATCACATCACCGGCGCCATGCTTAAGCCGATCGCTACTACATTGGCACAGGTATTAAGCAAATTGTTTAAACTATGCTGGGACTGGTCATAGGTCCCTATCTCCTGGCGCACCGCACAAGTCGTGCCCATACACAAGAAAGGTGATGCCACAGAAGCTAGCAACTACCGGCCAATCAGTTTGACTAGTGTACTCCACAAAGTTCTTGAGCGCTGCCTACTTCCCAAACTAATGGAGTCTATGCCAGCACTAGCCATGGCCCACGGTGGTTTTCGCCATCATCGCGGTGCCCTCGACCAAGCTTTTGCACTCAACATGTTAATACGTCACTACTAGCGGACATATCAAGAATCCCCTGTGCTCGCCTTTCTAGATATCAAGGCTGCCTATGACTCGGTCAATCGCGACATCATATGGTCAACGCTGCAGGGACACCTGCCAAGCGCTCTGTTCCATATGATTCGTCATATGTTTGATGATGTACGCAGAGCCGTCATCTTACAAAATTTCCAATCACGCTATATTCAGCCTAAACGCGGAGTACTCCAAGGCTCAATCCTCAGCCCCTTGTTGTATGCGGTCTTCATCAACACATTGCCGAACCGACTCCAGCTCACAATCATTGGAAACAAATGCATGACACCTATTGTTCTCCGTACTATACCCCACAACAGCGCCACTAAAGCATCAATACAAAATCAAGTATATCTGGGTGACAAAAATGGAAAGCTAGGCAAGAATCGACCTGACACCGACCGCACGATCATTCTAGCACTACTTTACGCCGATGATGTAGCCCTCATCGCCTCTTGCAGTGATATTCACCACCTACTTAAGGCAGCCGAGAGCCACTCGTGCGACTACGGATACTGCTGGCACCCTGGAAAGTGCGCTATCATTGAGCCCCTAGAAGCGCCAACCAGTACAACTTCAGCTTCTCGTCCACCGGCAACATATAGAAGCTACGGTACCGCCATCCCTAAGGTTAACAGCTTTCAGTACCTAGGCCACCTATTTACGTACAATAGATTAGACATCGAGCATCTTGTTCCACAGCGTATAACCAAGGCAACCTACAACATGTCATTGCTCCATCAAGTCGGTCTCCATTAGTATAGTATTGGCCTATTATAGCAGTGCAGAATAGTGTGACTTGTGTCACTTGGTGAGTCGACCATTGAGTAACAAGCCTAGCTATGCATGATAGAAAATTATAAATTCTCATCCCATATGCACAATAAAAAAAAAACCCCTTTTTCTCTCGTACTTTTCGTTTACTATCCTTTTGACTCCGTTTAAGTCAAACCGACCGTACCCATTGCATACTGTATGTAACGATATAAGAAACCAGACCGCTCGTTCAAGCTTGAGAACTATTATTGATGGATTTTACGGACATATATAGCTTACTATCGCTTCACAACTTTGTACCTCGCCCTAGCTTGTAAACCTCATATATTTTATATACTTGATTGATTCCACGGTACTTATACGCTTTTCTACCATCGTACATCCCCTTTATGCTGTATATGAATCTCATGCGCTATATGTTTTGTGGCATGTTTAGTCGTCTATTCCAATCTCAGACAATACAATAAAACTGGTAGAGAAGCTGGGCGTAGGCCATCCACATTGCCACAACATCGTAAAACCTCAAAGAACAAAGCCAACCGGCGAAAATACAAAGCAACTACTTCTGCCTGTGCGGTGGTGATAATGTCAGACCAAACAGGAGACGAAACCGCGCGTGACCAAAACAACCGCATTGTCGTGCATATGGAAACATCACGCGTAGATGCACCTAAATTTGGAGGAGATCTCAATCATGACGATCCCTTGAAGTTTCTTAACGCATTCAAAGATGCTGCAGTAGCGAACAATTGGCAGAGCGACAGACGACGTATCGAAATGGCAGGACTATCATTGTATGCCCATGCCAAAGATTGGTTTGAACATGATCTGAATCTCGAACGTAGCACCGCTTTTGACGACGAATCCGACGACTGTTTTGTCCAACAATTCAAGAACGAATTCCTAACAGCACGATGGCAGGAGCGCTATCGGTGGGAATATCGGCAACGCATACAGCTGCAACACGAATCCAGACTACAATATACAACAAACAAACTTGCCTTGGCGAGTCGATACGAAAAGGGGTGCAATACCCAGCTATTGGCCAGTGACAAGATCGCTGATGTCATTGAAGGCCTCAGATTGGAATATCGAGAGCAGCTTCGCGGTGCGGCACCTACCAGAATCAGTGAGCTCAAAGAAGCCGTCCGAGCAGCCGAGCGGCATATGGAGGTCATACGACACACTGTCGGTCTTGGCAACTTGCCTCAGCAGGCAGCGCCACAACATGACGGACGCCAAATCGTTCCTGTCTATCAAACCACTGCTCGTCAGCAAACGAGGCCACCCAGAGGCGACCGCTCAGACACATCGACTTTGCAAGACCATTTTGATAACAGTTTGGCGAATGCGTTAGACAAGATGGAGGCGATGATGAGGTCGTACGCATCATCACAAGCACCAAGGCAGATTCTAAAACGACCTGAGGCCGGAGGAGCCGCACATGCAGGAAACGCATACAGTGCGGCGCGTTGCTACAATTGTAACAAGACCGGTCACCTAGCTCGCCAGTGTCGAGGCCCTTGCAGCACATGTCCAGAACAAGAGCACAATGCTATGAACTGTCCTAGAAGACAAGCAGGAGCACAAGTAACTGACGCCAAGAGCGCGAACAGAAACAATGCAGACATTCAAGGCGGAAACTCCACGACGTATTTTCAGGGCGGCCGCCAGTAAAGGCAGGCACTGCGGCCGAACCCTCATCAATGACAAGACCTGTCAACTTTATACAAGGGGTGTACGCTACTGGCGACGGCGATACACCTGCAACTAGCACCAGAAGTCGCAAACGAGAACATGACAGCAACATGGAGGTCGACTCCTCGCAACCACCCGCTCAACACAACAATCAACAAACATCACCAAATGTTCATGTCAGCGACGAAAGATACAACAAGCTGTTGGCAAATCTGGAAAAAGCACGTCAAGCAAAAGCACAATACAAACGAGCCGATGATGAGGCGCGAGCGCGAGGAGAGATCCCGCCATCATTGCAGCATAAAGCATCATCTGAATTCCCCTTGATCGTGGATCAGAAGGGAAACGTACAGCAATTCGATATCTGTCAAGCCCTCAAAAACATGAAAATTGAAGTGCCATTTCCTCAATTGATGTACTATGCACCGGTCCTGCGGCAAGAAGCGTTAAATGCCATGGGAGCCACCAGCAATAGTAGTCATCGACGCAGGCAAGAGCCTCTGGTATCAACAGTAAACACCACTATCACCGCGAAGAAATTGCATTACGATACCACTGACAAGCAAGAAATGCGAGCGCTTCAGGCAATCTATGCAATCATCGCAGATGAACAGATTGAGGCGTTGGTTGACTGTGGGTCCAATGTGTCTATTTTGCCGATATCACTGGTCCAACGAGTGAAGCTGGATATGAACATTCGTCCGACAGAAAGAGTCATCCGCTTTGGTGGAGGAAGTCTCGAGCATCCCGTTGGTACCATTGACCTGAACATCACGTTGAGCAAGGAGCTTGTTGTCCACCACCGGTTCATGGTGGTACAAAATCACAATACTCCTCTAATTCTTGGGCACGATTTCTTGTACCACACTTGCACCAGCGTTATACCGTACCAACAACGCATCACCTTCCTCAAACCAGACAGACATCCAGACGACACGTCAAATGATGCTATTTGGGAGGTACCAACGCATTGGGGGTTTGGGCCTGAACCCTGTCGAGAAGTGCTACCAGTTTCGGACGAAAACGTCGAGATGGAGGCGGTCTATGCACATATGGCCATTGAACGAGAAAGCGATAACAACAATGCGGACAGAATAATCACGCTGCACAATGATCTGGTCCTTGACAAAGGTGAAGTCCTGGCGCTAAGACTCAAAATCCAAGGAGACTCAGCAGCAATTGGCGAACACCTCGTCCTCGAAACTCACCCTGTCGGGCACCACGACATAGTGATTTGGCCATCAAAGATTGAATCAGATCAATCTGCTTTTCTGTTTATCGCGAACCGTGGGCAGCAGCGTCTTGGGGTAAAAGCCGGGGATATCATCGGTGCCGCCAAGAATATGTTGACATTGCCTCAGCGGCCCACCACCACTGACTTGGATGAGGTAATGCGGCAACTACAAGAACTGACGTGGTACCCAGATGCACCAACACCAAGCGGCGACAGGGTGCCAATCTACCAACAAGATGTCAACGAAAGCATTATAGTGCGCTCAAATATGGCTATCGCAGAACCACCCAAAACACCTGCGACTAAACGCTTCAACATCAATCCAACGCTATCATCCCACGAACAAAACCGACTGCAAGCCGTTTTGGACAAGCATGAAGATCGATTTGCAACATCGCTATCCGAAGTGGGAGAGCTTAACGTGCCACCGTACCATATTCAGCTGAAACCAGGCGCGAAACCTACCAAGGTTGCACCGTACGCAATTCCTTTCGAAGCAAATCAATGGTTAAAAGGGTACCTAAAAGATTTGGAAGCCATGAATCTGATTGAGCCCTGTTCAGGCCCTTGGGCAGCAGGCACTGTTCTGATACCTGCTGATGCTGAGAAGCGTAAGCCGAGAGTACGACGAAAAGCCAAGGCCCTGCATAAAACGCCACGTGTAAAATTGTCCCGACAAGGTAAACCTATGCCGGTTTGGTCGCTCCTTGCTGGAGAAGAAACCAATCGCGACCCGAGTGACGACGAGTTGAACGGCGATAACCAAGAGCTATACATGCCGGCATTTGCAGCGAAAAATGGTCAAGAACGAATTGGCTACGATGCGCATGGGAACGCTGTGCAGTACAGTTGTGCCGCGCCTGTTGCAGATCACGCAGGAAGCAAGGATCCCTACCGGCTATGCCTCAACTACAAACCTGTCAATGCCGCTTGCGAGGACTCAGCGTATCCAATACCCAACACGAACTTTCTGTTTACTCTACTGTGGGGATCAAAATACATATCGATATGTGATGCGCTTCGAGGATACTGGCAGCTTCCAATTCAAGAAGACGACCGTGATCTCACCGGTTTTGTGACACATTACGGGCAATACAGGTGGACTCGTTTGGCGATGGGCTTGAAAGGTGCTCCAGGCGCTTGGCAATCTATTATGGACGACTGTTTCCGAGAAGTGTTGTATGACTATCTCTTAGTCTACATCGATGACCTGATCATCTTCAGCAAGACTTTTGAAGAACACCTGGAGCATATTGACAAGGTCCTCTCAATGGCGGCGAAGATAAATCTATCACTCTCCCAGCGGAAATGCAAGTTTGGGTATCAAGAATTACGAGTCCTCGGGTACATCGTAGGCGAACAAGGATTTGAGATGGAGCAATCGAAAGTCGACAAAATCGTCCAATGGCCACCGCCGAAAAATGTTCATGAACTAAACTGGTTCATAGGCCTGATTCAATACTACCGTCGGTTTTTGCCTAACCTGTCAACTAAGATGGCACCATTGAACGCGCTCAAAAAGAAGGATCAGCCATTCGTGTGGGGTGATCAAGAACAAGAGTGCTTCGATTTATGCAAGAGCCTTGTCAGCACCGAACCTGTTCTTGCACATCCTGACTTCACACGACCGTTCACCTAGTTCACCGATGCTTCTAATACCAGGATAGGCGGACTCCTCAGCCAAGAGAGCAAAGAGCATCCAGGCGTGTATTTGCCTATATACTTTGGAAGCCGTGCCCTTTCTGATGCCGAAAAAAAGCTGTCCACATATGAAAGGGAGTTTATGGCCATTGTATACTTTACTCATTTCTTTCGCCTGTATCTACTTGGTCGTCATTTCCACGTGGTAACGGATCACAAGGCGTTAGAGTTCATTGCCAATCTCAAGGAAGGAACATCTGCACGAGTCGCACGTTGGCTAATGACCTTGGCCATGTACGACTTCACCATTAGTTACAAGCCAGGCAAAGCGAACGTTCAAGCAGATGCCTTATCAAGGCTACCCCAGAATGTGATGGACAACATTGATCTCGATGAGGTCATTGTTGACGACTACCTTCCTGTACACGTGATACAAGATCTCCCCGAAGAAGCTCGCAGAAAACGCCCGCGTATTCAGGATGATGGTGAACAATGGGGTGGAATGGCTCGGGATCGTTATGCATCATTGGTCAAATACTTGTTGACGTTGAGCATGGATGAAGGCATCAGCGAAAAAGAAAAGCGTGCGATCCGACAAGCTGCGCGGTACTACTATTGGCATGATGACAAACTATATCGACGATCTTCGAAAAGTACAGGCGTGCGTATGGTAGTGCGACAAGGCGAAGTACTACAGATATTGCAAGAAAATCACGATCACCTCCTGGCAGGTCATCAAGGGGTTGGACGGACTTTCGCGCGAATAAAGGACAGATATTATTGGCCCGGCTACTTTGCCGATGTGAGGAAGTACGTGCTCTCATGTCCGACTTGTCAACAATATGGACCACGCAAGCCGCCTACACCACTGCACCCTTGGGCTCCTGCAAAAGAGGGTCCCTTTGGACGACTCTTTATTGACTTCCTGACCATGCCGACATCGGAGCACGGAAACAACGCCATATTGCTTGGAGTCGACAGCTTTAGCGGCTGGATGGAGGCAATGCCTACAGCAACCAAGAGTAGCGATGCTACCCTGGTGTTCCTATTCGAGTGGATCTGTCGATATGGCCAGCCTGAAATCGTGATCAGCGACAATGCAAGCCATTTTACTGGGCACGACTTGAATCGACGCATGAAATATCAGTATGGCTTAACAATCAAAACGGGCGCAGCACATCATCCCTAACGTCAGGGACAAGTAGAACGAGCAGTGAGAACGGTGCGCACAATCCTACGCCGCCTTGGCACACATTACCTCGGATCTTGGGAAACTTGGCTTTCAGCAGCGTTATTTGTCATCAGGACATCGGCAAGGCGTGACCATGGTTGTACCCCGTTCTACTTAGCTTTTGGGCGAGAGCCACGATTGCCTATAAGTATGACGGCAGCATCTGAGGAGATTGCGGCTCCCTTGGATGATGTGGATGAAGAAACGGCATATGCGGTTGTTTCCGAGCGCATGGAGGATTTTACACGGATGCAGGCGACGGCGCTAACTTTTGCCAAACAACGCATGAAGGAGTACAAGCAAGCGATGAAGATCCGGTATGATGCGAAGGCCAAAGCGAGGCAATTTATGGTGGGCGATAAGGTAATGGTTCATAACGAAGCATTATCGCCTATGAGCACTGACTTAGCACCACACTGGATCGGACCCTACGCTGTGGACAAGAGATTGGGCTACGACACATACAAATTGCGCGACGAAGCATTATCTCTTCCTGGGGTATTCCATGCAAACCGGCTCAAGTTTTATTATACTCGTCCTCGATTGGAACGAACATCCATCCGCCACGAACATGAACTGTGGTATCAGTCCTAATCAGCTGTCGATATATCTTCTTATCTATGTCTTTATTCTTTTTCTTTTCTTTCCCTGACGTCTCTCCTATTCTCTTTCGTTTCAACATTTCTTCTACTGTGGATTCCATCAAGAATTTACTTATGCGAGGTTCTTATGTCAATTTCCCCCCCCTACGTTCGTATTGTTTCCTATATGTTGTTTCTACATGTTCTATTCTTACCATGTATCTATCTGCCCAATTCTGCCCTTCTCTTTAATGATAACTCGCTTGGGGACCATAGCGAGTCATCAAGGCCCTCTTTATAGCAGTGCAGAATAGTGTGACTTGTGTCACTTGGTGAGTCGACCATTGAGTAACAAGCCTAGCTATGCATGATAGAAAATTATAAATTCTCATCCCATATGCACAATAAAAAAAAACCCCCTTTTTCTCTTGTACTTTTCGTTTACTATCCTTTTGACTCCGTTTAAGTCAAACCGACCGTACCCATTGCATACTGTATGTAACGATATAAGAAACCAGACCGCTCGTTCAAGCTTGAGAACTATTATTGATGGATTTTACGGACATATATAGCTTACTATCGCTTCACAACTTTGTACCTCGCCCTAGCTTGTAAACCTCATATATTTTATATACTTGATTGATTCCACGGTACTTATACGCTTTTCTACCATCGTACATCCCCTTTATGCTGTATATGAATCTCATGCGCTATATGTTTTGTGGCATGTTTAGTCGTCTATTCCAATCTCAGACAATACAATACTATGGCTGGCATTACGAGCATACTGCACATTCATCCACCTAGTACTTGAATATGAACTAGCAATAGCCGCATTGAGCGCTAAGGGAATTAACTATTAATAAAAAATAAAAAAAGGTTTTAATAATTATATATAAATAATTGTTTAAAAATATATAGGAAAAAATAAAAAATTAGATTATAATTTTTTTATTTTTGAAACTTTTAACTTTTTTTTTTTTACTTTAAATATTTTAAAGTGATATATCTTTTAATGTTTGATGTTTAATTTAAAAAGTGGCGGAATGGTAGTGAGCATACCCTCCTCTACCCGAGGAATACTTAGACGACAGGTAGCTTAACAGTGAAAGGAATAACAAATTAATTAGCAATTTATTGCTAAATTAATTGTTATGGATTGATACTCTAAGCAGATCGACAAGCTCCAGAAGGCACAAATTGGTTGCATAAAAATGACCTGTAACTACAACACAATGACAAGTACAACGTACATAGTACCTCTGGTGATGGCGGACCTACCATCTATGAAGATCTGTATGCATAGCTTACAGCTTAAATTTGTCGCTCGCTTGAACACATTGCCAGTATCAACACTGGCCCGGGCAGTTGAACTATCGATCCTATAGGAAGAACCGAAAAATGAGAAGCAATGGATCAAACTTTCCAAGAGCAACCCACTCTATAAGCACTATAGAGCGCTCCTTCACTCTATAAATCCTCCCACCAACATTGTCAACACAGTAATTGCTCAAGCTCGTAATGGAGAACTAGAGAAGCGCCACCAAGCATCTATGTCAGTCCAGTGTCTTCGGCCCACACGCACAATCGACCCTGTGCTGTACCTGCTAGCATCTCCGAATGACCACCATCGCTTACTTAACTGGCACCTGTATTGGCTACCTGGCTATTACCCACGCAAGGACTGTCGTTGTGGTGCACGAGCTTTCACCTGCAACTACTACAGTCTCGTTTGTCTACTACTGCATCCAATGTGGCAAGAGCTTACTGACGCCTAAGGCACAGCTCCTACAAGCTACCACGGACTGACGTCGGTCTGACCAACGGAAAATGGCAATCCATATGGCCAGCGATACTACGTATCCTCAGAGAAATCGACCAACTCTGTCACTCCAAAGAACTTTTGCTGGATGGGACGTTCCCCGGCGACGACTTTTCACCACCATTGTCTTCAGAGCAAGATTAAAGTGCCCTGACTATCCTTCTTTCTTCTGTCATTTATTTTAATTTATTTGTAACAACCTATACAGACCTTATTATATATGCACTACCACACTGGCTTAAGTTTTTCCTCCTGACTATGGGGGGTTTTTTAAGTTCTTGCATCTATTCCTTATATATAACGTATCCACACGAACCGCAAGGAAGCGACCGCAATGCCTATTGGCGCAGGTCCACAGCCTTCTATAAATAATAAAACCAAAATTTTCATCTAATATTGAAGAACAAATAAATAATGTAGTAGATAAAATTATTATTAATAATGAGAAATTTCTAGATACTAATTGGCCTATAATACATTATAACTATAAACATAGAGTAGAAATAAGACATATGAAATTAATAAATGAAATTAATAAATGAAATTAAAAAAGAATTAGTAGATAAATTAGGATATATTGCAGTTTTCTTCTTTTTAATAGTAATATATACAAATAAGGAATATCTAGGATCATATTTTGAAATTGAAAAGGACTATTTTTGTTATACCATTTAGTTTCAGGTATTTCAGGAATAAATATAAATATATACCTTCCTCAAAGTAGCTTTCATAAATATTATAAAAAAATTGGATAGATGAAGAAAATTATAAAGGAATAAATAAAACTATAAATGAATCATTAATAAATATGTTTTCTTCCATAAAATTAAGATTACTATCAGCATATCAATATAATCCATCATTATTCAAACATGTCACATTAATAATTGATAGCCATGATAGTAGAATTAATTATGTTAATATAGATATAAAACGTGAAAAATTATTTTCTTATAAATTTTAAAAAATGGACTTAGAACTCAAATTATAAGTGATATAAAGGATATGATATTATATATTTCAAAAACTGATATGTGTACAGAAAGCTCAGGTGGAAGTATGTTTTTAAATATGAAGCTATATAGTAAATTAAATAATTATGATGTTTTAGCAATGGATGGAGGATATACACTTTTTATTAATCAACTTATTGAATTATCTAGCCAAAAAGAAATTGATTCTAATAATAGTAACTTTATATATCCTATTAGAAAAGATGTTAACGTTGATCTGAATGCAGATAAAAGATATTTTAATGGTGTTTTTGGAAGTTTTCGTCCTAAAGTAGAAAATCAATTTTCTGAAATTGGTAACAAATTTAATAGATTTAGTAATAGCAATTCAATTGCTAAAATTGATAATATCAATTTTTATAATTTACAGTTCCGTTTAGGAGAATAAACAATATCTATAAATTTTACAGTAAACTGTAAATTTATGATATTTTATTATTCTGGCAAAGAATATCCCAAACTGGCCCCTAAATTTGGAAAATAAAAAATTTAGGGGATCTGCTGGGTGTGCTCTAGTTAAACTATGTTTTTTATTACCATTAGGTCAAAGTAAAATTACGATACATTAGCGATAAATTGGCTGTTAGCAACAAGAGAATCTACTAAGTGACTATCAAGTTTGAGCGAAAAAATAAAGCTTAAGATAAAGAATTAACAATTTGCTATTGTAAATTGTAAAATGAATCCATCTTTTTAGAAATTTCACTATATAACAGCCATGCTTTTTTAACTTTACACGTTCTAGAGAGACTTGGGTGAACTTCAACTTTGTGCCGTCTTCCTAGACTATTACTATATTGCATTTCTCAGTATGAGTTCCCAAGAGGTATGCTACTTGATTTCATCTGCCATCAATAACATTTGAGGTCTTTTTGTAAACATCGTTGAGCATCCTTTACCATTAGCCATAGTTCTGATAGACTGCTCTAAATGAGCTTCAAGTTTACTAACCATTTGTTTCTGCACAGATTTTGACAAAGCAATCAACTGATCATGTCTGTCAATGTGGCTCGCATCTCCTTATTTCTTCCAGGTTGAGTTTGAAATAAATTGGAGGTGGTGGCTAAGTGGGATGAAAGAGTGAAAATTGGGGTAATAATACTAACAGTGGGAGAGGATATAAAGCACAAGATCTTTATTTTTAATTCTACATATCTGCCATAGCAAACCAACTGCCGCGATTTCAGCAAGCATAAGTTGAACTAGTATTTTGTTCCTCTCGACGAACGAAGGAAAAAAAATATACGATCCGAATGGCTTGAAAAAGAAGAAAAGCAAGATTCAGGTAAACGATTCTATATAGATTGTGCTCAAGAATCAGCAATAGTTGAACGGCGTTCCTGGAATGCTGTAACACTAGTTTTTGTAAGTGAATAAAAAGAAGAACTAAAGTGCTTTTGTATTATGTCAGCAATATGGCAGTTGTTCGTGCATGCTTATACATCGTTAATGTTCTGCTTCTTTTATTGTTCTTGTCATTGTTATTACAAACGACACTTGACGACGACCTTATTTCCAAACACACAACACTCGACGACTTTGCAACACTTCTTCTTCCAAATTGCAAAACATACACCAACGAGGGCAACAACGATTTACTGCATTCACATGTATACACGTTTTGCATGGCGCTCTTTTATCCCTTCTTTTTTATAACAATACTCATAACGGATCTTGCGTTATTGCTTTTTTTACACGTACCGATTTCCTCCTTGCATACAACAACATGTACGTCTATATCTAGCATGGTCTCTGCCTTTTATATTCCATAACATAGATACCGGCAGTTGTGATGGATAAGGAAGTATATGCAGCTATATTATATTGGTGGATAGAGCTGGAGAAAACGTATATCATTAGGGGTCGCAATCTGACCTGCGGGTCAAAACCGACCAATTCCCTTATTCCGGCACAAAAATAAGAGTTGGTAGTTCCCCCCCTCAATTTTTTTGAAGTTTAAGGTCAGCTGCCAGAGACACTGTACTAGGCAGCAGAGGGGCATTTGACAAAGTACTTATTCTGCCCCAAATTTAACTTTGAAAGTCAGTTGCGAGAGAGTGTAAAGACAGTTGAAAAAAAAACATTAAAGTGTACTTGTCATCTTGTTTCATAAGAGAATTGTATATTTCAACCATATGAAAGGTAAGTAAAGAGAGAATGGGAGGGGTAAGATCTTACTACTACAAGAGGAGAAACAAAAATGGAGGTAAAAAACAAACCACTTTTCATATAAGAAATAAACTTGGTTTGTTATTATTACTTCTTTACAACTTCCTTTTTCACCTCCATTTTTGTTTTTCTTATTGTAGTACTAAGATCTTGTCTCTCCCGTTCTCTCTTTACTTACCTTTCATATAGTTGAAATATACAATTCTCTTATGAAACAAGATGACAAGTACACTTTAACGGTTTTTTTCAACTGTCTTTACACTCTCTCGCAACTGACTTTCAAAGTAAATTTGGGGCAGAATAAGTACTTTGTCAAATGCCCCTCTGCTGCCCAGTACAGTGTCTCTGGCGGCTGACCTTAAACTTCAAAAAAATTGAGGGAGGGGAACTACCAACTCTTATTTTTGTGCCGGAATAAGGGAATTGAAAACCAACCCACGGGTTGAGGATGGGTCAACGGGTCGGGTTGATGCTTTTCTAGCCCACGGGTCAACCTGTCTAACCCTTGACCCGACCCGTTGACCCATTGTGACCGGTGTATATATATAATATGTATGAGGTACTTGTATTCAAGTAGTCAATCTTCTTACTGGGAAGCATCATTATATTATAGGATGTAGTTATCAATATGTCTGCTATAGAACTATAACATAAAATGCTTTCTATTGTGGGATTATCTTTTATATTCAAGAGTAAAGGATAAGTAAGCTATAAGCAATATATGTAAAAGGAGTTAAGAAGCAGCAATAGTACAATGGGAGCAGACAATAAAGGGTGGCAGTAAGAGACGAGATTTGACAAAAGACTGAAAAGGAATTGAGAAAAGAAAAACGAAGGAAGAAGGAAGAAGTGATAAGAAAAGGGAAAAAGAAAAGGATTAGGACACATAGGGAGGTCGATTTTCAACCACACTTGAACCATTATGCTCTCTTTAATACATGTGACCCCAAGCGATTTCTTTTGTGATGGCACAAAACCCTTTACCTTTAAAATAATCACACAAAACGTAGATGTTGCAAGCACTGTTAGAAATTTACATGCCATCATCTTAGGGAGCTTTGTATATATATATATATGGAGTTTTGCACTTCCAGTGCTCAAGTTCAGGCTGATTAACACTTTCTTCATCACCATATCGAAATCAGTCTTGACCTGTCAACCTGAGTTTTGATCCGTCAGGTTGAACGGGTTGGGTCAGGTCAGTGTTTTCTTAACCCACGGGTCAATGGGTCAGACCCTTGACCCGACCCGACCCAACTAATTGTGACCCCTATATATCATGAGGGCTTTTTTCATCATATATTGAGAGTACCTAAAGAAAATAAAGTATTGTGTCAAAAACAATGCATTATAATGTTTCAGTTCGCTGCATAAAAAGGCATCATTGATGGATATCATGGTGCATTTCATCTGTAATTGCCAATAATTTCCCCAAATTTGAGATGTACAGTATCTACTTTACCCTAAGTCATTATTTTTCAAATCTATACTTTAATAAACATTTTTAGGCATGTAAAGAATAGTTATTGAAGTTCAGAAGTTGCAAAAAAAGGTTTGAAAAAAAATTGATAGCTGTCAAAGATGGTTAGTCAAAGGCAATTTTTAGATATTTAGCAGGGACGAAATGCGATTTGAAACATGTTACACAAAGCATGTTGTAGTTTTTACCTTCACATGTGAATAGCTATCAGCCAATCATATTCGAGATTAGCTTTCCCTCACTTTCTATACTATTTTACTATGCCTCCCTAAGGAGGTTAACCACTAGTAGTAGTTTTCATTAAAACTATTAGTTGAGAATTATTTAATATTTGAGATTTATTCATGTAGTTGAGAATATTTAAAATTAAACTGTTATATATATATAAGAATATACTATAAAATATGGAAATAGAAATTAATATTGAAGAAGTAATAAATAATGAAATAGATAAAACTGTTATTAATAATTAGAGATTTTTA